GTTTATATTTTTTTTATGTTCGTTACTTCACTTCATCATTTATAACCGATTTGGAAACATATTTTTATTTGTAAGGATATATTTTCAGATTGGTGCTATAGAAATTTTATTAAAATAAATTCAATAGTTTGGTGTTTAAATAAAAATAATCGAATTTGCCACCATTGAATTTGGTATTATTTTTTTTTTGCAACAAAATTTACTAGTAGTAGTACAACTCTTCCCTACTTCATCATCTTACCCTTACCCCAATTGTTATATAGGGTCAGCGTAATATATTATTTTTTCTCTAATTCATACCCACATATTATATATAGGATTACTAGACAAGTAACTATATAAGACACGAGCTTAACTATACATATATAGTACAAGTGATACTCGTAAGCGGAGACAAAGTAAACATTTATATGCATATATAAATAGTAATGTAGTATTTTTTTTAATGTGTGATAATGGAATGGTAACCCCGCCCGTGTTATCGGTATACACTGGCGAGGCACCAGTGGAAGATGATAGGTGAGAATGAATGCAGGTCAGTTAGCCCACCATGATGAATTCGACAAAAATTGATCGTGATGGTTCCCAGGGGTTATCGCGTGGAGGTCGACCTAAGAGGGTATATTGCTAGTAATGAGGTAATTAAACGTTATTAGTAACAATCCTTTTCCCCCAATAATAATGTGATCTTAGTGCTTCTATACTTTACACGTATTTAAAAAAAATAGTATGCTATCAATTGTGTTATACATACAATAGACACTTTGCTTAGTTTGTGGCTAGATAACGCTGCAAACTCTGCCTAATTGACAACTTGATGGCACTGTTGTATGCCCGTAGCTCTTTATTTATTATTTACTAGCTTTTACCTGAGACTTCATCCGCGTGACGTAGGGGCGGACCATAGCCTCAAGCACAGTTTATACCAGAAAACAATTGATAATATTTTCCTGGTATAATGTATGTATATAATCGTTTTAATAGCTTGTTATCAGACCACAGTCCAGGACAAGTATAGGCACAATCATTATTATTATTATCATATCAGCTGTTTATTGCCCACAGCTGAACATACACTTCCCCTATAAGGGGTTTTACCAGTAGTTGCCACACTTGGTAGGCCGGTTGGTAAGCAAATTAAGGATTTGGTGATATTTAAAGAGGAACGCTGCTGCCTATCCCTCAACCATTATACTACAGGGACAATGCGGCCCATGAATACGAACAATGGATAAAAGGAAATTCTTCTCTCGACGGTTGGTCATACTATGCCGGTTCACTAAGTGCTTTTTCACGCTACGCTTGAAGGATCCAATTGATGGCTTGTGTGCAATATGTAACCCGAACGGCTTGATTGATTTTTACAAATGGCAAGCCGTTGGATTCGTGTAATTGCGTGAGTGCTATAGACTGTATATTTTTTTAACCCGCTTGTACTAAATCTTATTAATCTGAATTAATACGAAAATTGTAACGATAGGTTAATGGATGGATGGATAGGTTGTTGCTCTTTCACGCAGAAACTATTGATTAAATTTGAATTCAATTTGTTATATGGCTAGGTAACTTCCTAACTTAGTACAAGGGATTTATATACTGTTCCACGCAGGTAAAATCGTGATTTTACCTACGCGAAAAATCTCACGGGATATAGCTAGTATATAATAGCAAAACAACAGTGAAGAGTTCAACAACAAAAGCAACATGTCAATTTCACGCGGTATTATGTGATGCTCATGTTGTTGTTACCATTCTAAGTTGTATATATATATATATATATATATATATATATATATATATATATATATATATATATATATATATAGAAATATTTTACTAATATGCAATACAGCGTGAAAGCAAACTATCAAATAGTAATATGTAATTAATCTAAACAACAAGTGACAAATAAAAAAAAGATGAAAAATTAGATGGAGTAACGACCTGAAATGCATCGCACAGAGCAATGAATGCAAGTGGCTTAGGACCGTTCTTTATGGCAGTCTATAGGGAAACTATAAAATATATATATATATATATATATATATATATATATATATATATATATATATATATATATATATATATATATATATATATATATATATCATAGAATATCACATATTTTTTATGGATGGAAACATCAGGTGAACCGTGGCTGTGCATCGCTTACAATAGTGAGATACGGTATTAAAATTACAAGGTACATGAGCATAATATCGTAGTTCTCGGAAATAGCAAGAAGTATATCATGGGCTACACAGACTACTAGACAGAGTGAAAGAGTACAGTTCACCCTAACCTTTTGTCTAAGTTATTTCATTGCGACAGACCAAACGTAGCAATAGCGCGTATGTAAGTGAGGGTTATTGTACACACGAATACTAGATTGCATTCATGCATGGATGCTCTACCTAAATTGCAATATTTTGACATAAAGTTCACTTGGTTTATTTTATATGTATGTGCAGATTATCATGGAAAAAAAATAAGTCCACAATAATGTTTTAAAAATGTACATGGCCTATATATTTTATTGTAGTAGTAAAATAAGTATGTACGTTATTTATCTGTTATATCCATGGTACTGTTCATGTCTATAGGCGACGGTTACTACTTACCATTAGGTAGGGCCGTCAGCTTATTTGCCATTCTAATTTATATATGTATAATAAAAACAAAAAAAATAATAATCGCTAACGCTGTCGCTAGTCACATAGACCGTTGAAATATTTAGCTCGTCGTTTTGTCTACATACATATCCAAATTCACGTCATTTGTCATTGTATCAACCCTACGTGGCGGGTGAAAGGCCGTCGTATTGTTTCATAGAGCGTTTCATTGGAAACCCGAATACAATTGTATGCTCTAAAATGTAAATATAAATATTTACATAAGTTTCTGTGCAAATTATCAACACAAATGCTTTGTCCAACTGTGCGACAGTCAATACGCAGTAATTATTAACAAATACATTTATTTTATACTAGCCGCAACTTGCTGTTTTGCTCGTCTGGGTTAAGGTAAAAAATATGTGATATTCTATGATTTATATATATATATATATATATATATATATATATATACAGCAAATTCGATTGTGACAAAAATATTAAATCATATTGGTAGCTTTCTTTTAAAAGTCGTTAAATTAACAATAACAGACATCGCCGATTATACAGCAACGCCCATAATACCTTTCATATGTTACCATCCCAAAAACCTATAGTGACCATTTGTGTCTCTCTCTCTCTCTCTCTCTCTCTCTCTCTCTCTCTCTCTCTCTGTGTGTGTGTGTGTGTGTGTGTGTGTGTGTGTGTGTGTGTGTGTGTGTGTTTATGTATGCGCGCGTGCGTACTTGTGCACGGGTGAGCGTGCGTGTGTGTGTGCGTACGTGCCTGCATGTGTGATATTTAGCTATGATAATAATAAAGCGCTAAAACAAACATGCTTTTACATTAACAATAGCAAAGATATTGATCAGAACGGCGAAGACATATCTAAAGCCGAAGACAAATGGCCTTGGACCGACCCAACAATAGGTTTTTAGATAAGCGGATGTTATGCACAACCCCCTATCCTCTTCAAAATGGGTTCTTATTATATTGGGTAGAACAACACGGAAAAATAACATTTCAGTTCTATTATACTAAAAGAGAAGATATAAACATACTGTTCATGCGTCTGAAACTCAAACTAAAAGGTTCTACAAATCAATCTACATTTGAAGTAATACATATATAATAATTATTTTTTACTAACTGCCCGCCTTTCGTGTTTTCGCATCTGTACTATTTTATAATCACTTTCTTTCATACAAAACTTGTTCTGTTAATTACAAACGATAATTACAATTGTTTTTCACTAATTATTAATTATTTTAATTTAAAAACTAAACTACTAAATTGATTTTTATAAAATGTCTATGGGATCATATGTAAATAAAATATCAGATAAAAAATCCTTTCCAAATCGGTTTACAACTGACGGAGTAATAAGGTAATAACTATGAAAAGGACCTGCTTCTTTTTGAAGTCGGTTGACAAAAAAGAGTTAGCATAATAGGTACAACCGTTCTGAAGTGATGCGCTTCTATTCTTTTGTCAATTAATTTGTACTTATATAGAAAATTATATTATATTATTTCTTTTGTATATATTTATAATTATATTACTTTTGTATTTTATGTGACACGTTTTATTTATGATGTAATTTATTATTTTATTATTATATACTTTACACATTTTTGTATAAATTAATTATAAGAATTTAACCCCTCAAACAATTAAATATAATAAAAAAAGAATAGTTTCAGAAAAATGATGACCTTTTTCGAATTACTCAAAAATGTCAGTGAATAATTAAACATTTCAAATAATTTATATTAAAATTTATAATTATGCTCGCAATAATTACTAACGTTGTATTTGAAAACTTATAACAAATAAGTAATATAAATTTCTAATCTATATAATTAAATGATCAAACGAACTTACCTAAAGTGAAGTTCGATCAAAATTATCTTGACTTCGTTGAAGAGATTTATCTTTGACCATGTAGTAGCCTCGCTACGCTGCAACCCTTCGCACAAGCATTCAGAGGGTAGGAATAAAAACATAATAATGACATTGCTGTCACTCTCCTATGCCGACACATTCCGACCCAGCCTCATTCTATTTAGAGCATAAGGTAGTAACTGCTAGCAACATTGATATTAATTTGGGTTTTATAAGCAGAGGTGGGAGGGACCTTAAATCTCTTCAACGAAGTCAAGATAATTTTGATCGAACTTCACTTTAGGTAAGTTCGTTTGATCATTTAATTATCTTGACTTCGTTTCCGAGATTTATCTTTGACCATGTAGATGTTCAGAGGTTTTTATCAATGTTGCAAAAGAATTAAATAAATTAAAAATAAATAAAAAGTAAAAAACAAAATTTAATCAGTGTGTACATTTCTTTATTATATCCTAAATAAACTGAAAACATGGTTATTATTATCTAATTAATCAATAAGTTAGAAGTGGTATCAATAATTGGCCTATTATAGAAATTGGCAAATACTGCTGATTGGTCAGACCAACCAGCAACCTTACGAATGACATCGACACTTAGGCCTGCACGTGAAGCGGCAGAGGTAGAAGCGTGCCTTGTACTGTGGGCACCAAATATGGAAGTATCAATGCCACTCTCTTGAAGAGTTAGTTTTATCCAACGCCCTAACGTCTGAGATGAGACGGCTTTATATGGTTTCCTACTAGTTAAAATTAAATGGTCCACATCATTAGGTCTTACAAAAGAAGTTGATGCTACATAAAACTTAAGTGTGGCAGCTGGGCAAATACTAGGTCTAGAATTAAAAAACGGTAGATTCAATACCGGTTGGCGACGACCAATACCTGAAGTTTTAATTAAATCTGATATAGCTATAACTATGCGGTCATTGTAATAAGTAATGTTTGAAATTTTTATCAATGACAATGTTTGCGTTCTTTGCCCAGTTGCCAAAGCTAACAGCATCACTAGTTTTTTGCTTAACATTTCTAAATTAATCGAATCGTTTGAGAGATTGGCCAAATGATTAAGTACAATGTTAGTATCCCACGTAACAATATAACGGGGGAAAACGGGTTTCAATTTGAAAATACCCTTGAAAAAACGTTTTATCTTTTCATTATGACCAATATTATTACTAGAAATTAAGGAAATAGCAGATCTATGATTATTTAAGGTTCCGTAGGATGACCCTGATTGGAAACATTCTGTCAAAAAAATTAGCAGGGAACTGAGATTAACTTCATAAAAATCACAATGGTTCTGATTACAATATTCCCACCATTTTCTTAGACTGGAATTATACTGCGATATAGTATTCCGAGACAAGGAAGAGATCATAACATCTACAGCTGCTTTTGGTACTCCCTGCTTGGAAAATCCTTCCCGGATAACACGCTCGCTACCAAGAAAAGTTGACCATGTAGCGGGTGAACTGAACTGAAAGTAGAGATAAGGAGATATTTATTAGGTCTAAAAGTTACAGGTTTCGTTACAGATAATGATTTAAAAAGGGGGTACCAAGGCTGTGATGGCCATTGTGGTACAACCACTATGCCTGTAGCTCTATCATGTATAATTTTGTTTAGTACCTTTAATATTATAGCGAAAGGAGGAAATGCATAGAAGAAATAAGTAGACCAGTCCAAAGTAAAAGCGTCAATATTATAAGCATCGGGATCTCTTTTCCACGATATGTACTTAGGGCATTTAGTATTAACACGAGATGCAAAAAGGTCTATATCTGGTTTACCAAATGTATATACTATTTCTGAAAATGCATACGACGCTAATTCCCATTCAGTATCAATATTTAGGTTCCTCGATTCTCTATCGGCTTCAGTATTTAATGTAGATTTAATATATGAAGCAAAAATGAATATTCTCCTTTCCTCGCACCATTTCCATATTATATTTGCAATATGATTTAAATGCGGGTATTGAACTCCGCCCATCCTATTAATGTACGAGATCGCTGTTGTATTGTCGACACGCAAAATAATATCACAATCTTTTTTTGTGTTAGCGAATGATTTCAGTCCGAGATAAACGGCTAGTAATTCTAAATAATTTATGTGGTTAGTACGCTCAATGCGAGACCACAAACCACCAGCCTTCTCATTGTGACAGGCGGCACCCCATCCTGTCAATGAAGCGTCAGTAAATAGTTCCATTTCATATTTATGTTGTCTAATACGATTACTAGCTATTAGAATATGATTTTTCCACCATATCAAATCATCGTGCAATTTATTTGGAATAGCCATAAAAGCATTGTAATTATCTGCATTACGCTGAAGTGCCATATATTTAGCTCTTTCTAGTGACTTCGTATGTAGCCATCCATAGGAAATGGCAGGGCATGCAGCAGTAAGGGAACCGAGAACTCGCGCAAATTCTCGAATGCGTATAGATTTAGTAGTAAGTAACATCTCTAAATTTTTGAGTATACTATTTCTTTTTCGATCGGGTAATTGCAAAGTCATCGACTTGGAATCGAGAACAAATCCTAGGAAAGTACACGAAGTACTTGTTTTCAAACTACTCTTTTTATAATTTATTACAAAACCTAAGCTTGTAAGGCATTCTTTAGTATTACTTATATTATTCAAACAAATCGCTTCCGAGTCTCCTAGTAAAAGTATATCATCCAAATAGCGTACTGATTTAAAACCACGAGCTCTTAAGTGAGTCATAACGGGCTGTAAAATTTTTGTAAATATGTAAGGCGCAGAACATAATCCAAACGGGAGTGCAGTGAATTCGTATAGACCTTCAAAATAAAATCGTAAATATTTTTTATGGCTAGCATGGATTGGGACTAAAAAATAAGCATCCTGCAAATCAATATTGGCCATAAAAGACCCTTCAGTTATTAGTTTTGTCGCCGTCCTAATATCTTCCATCTTAAAATGTTCGACACGAACATATTTATTTAATTTTTTAAGGTTCAATATAAACCTCATGCTACCGTCACTCTTTGGCACTAAAAATATGTCAGATAAATATTGTCCCTTAACAGGATTGCATTTTTGTATGGCCCCTAATTTTATCAAATGTTGAATTTGTTTTTAAGTGCAATTCGTTCATTAGAACAAAAAATACGTTTTGGATATTCACTTGGACTCTGTTCTGGTATAGTAATAAATGGAATTGAATATCCTTGAATAGAATTTAAAATAAAGTTATCGCTTGTAATTGAACGCCAAGCGTGTAAAAAAATATTTCAAGCGACCTGCATATACCTGAGATTCTGTATTTAATTCCGCGACCGATCGGCTGCTGGTCGCGGCTTGTAGACTGGTTGGCGCCGCGCTGGCGGCGGCGGCGGTGGTTGCGGACGGCGACTGTGTGGCGCCGGTGCGGCGACTACACGTCGCCGATTCGCATATGAAGTTTTGTGCCCACCGGCTCGTTGTTGCGAGTTGGTTTGACTGGCGCACTGACGTGGTCGAGCCGATGGGCCCCTGAAGTTTAAACCAGAGCTGGAAAAAGAGGCTGTAGCTTGAATTAATTGACTAGTCTTCTTAATTCCTCGAGATTCCTTCACTACTTCAGATAAACTCTCTATAATAAAGTATCGGCCAAATATATAATGGAATGATATGACCGATCTATCTGCGTATATATAAGTTTTCCCGTATCGCTCAATATGCGAATAATCGGATATAACATATATATATCATGGCCTTTCATAGGGCTGATAGTGCACGTCCGAGCTGATCTTGTTTACAAATCAAACGTTTATCGCGGAGACGGCAAGGCTCAGGAAGCATAGCATGGACCTCTGGGTTTAGAGTGGGTGCCTTTAAGAACGGTAAATTTTTAGGAAACAGATATTTCTTTATAAGTTCTTCTCTATTTTCCTTTCTTAAGCCCTCTATTAAAATTTTTTGGAACCTTGTTGCTATATCTTTATATATTTCATCACCATATTCAGTAATTTCCGATTCATTTTCTCCTAAGGCTTGTAATAATTCCGAGTCAATGCATTCTGCGACTTCCTCATTATTCTCAGTTACAGTTAAGGGTACTTCCTTAGGAGGAAGGTCTTGGTACGAGTCAAGATCCGAGAAAATTTCTTGCTGTTCGCTTGAAATATTACCCACATTAAACAATTCAGTTTCTCCAGGTACCGGATGTTCTGGAAACGAATGTTACGTATTAATCCTCAAATTCACTAGGATTTCTTTTAATTTAAATAACAAACACTTCTCCTTTACTAACAATGATATTAAGTAATATTCATTGTAATAATTTATTTATAATAAACTCAATAACGAATTTTTAGTCAAGGAAAAAATAAAATAAAACAATATGTGGGTAAGTTCGATCGTGCAAAATATGCCAACGATCATAATTGATCCCGAAGAATACAACGGGATTAAAAAAATTATATCTCGAAGAATTCAACGAGAAATAAATTTGTGATAATAATCACCTTCGATATGTACATCATCTTCATCGCTGGAGTAAACAATACGCTTAGTATTACGACACTGTGTTTTAAGAAGCTTCGCTTCATATTTCTTCATTTTTCTTGACCAACGTTCCTCTTTCGATTCTTCGCGTTTGCGTTTAGGCATTTTTTTTTTTTTTTAATTATTTTTTTTTTTTTTTTTTTTTTTAGTTTATATATTTATAAGCTTGTGCAGTCGGCGCGAGCGCACGGACAAGAATGAGGCTGGGTCGGAATGTGTCGGCATAGGAGAGTGACAGCAATGTCATTATTATGTTTTTATTCCTACCCTCTGAATGCTTGTGCGAAGGGTTGCAGCGTAGCGAGGCTACTACATGGTCAAAGATAAATCTCGGAAACGAAGTCAAGATAATTACAAATTTACAATAATTAGATTACGGATCTTGTATATTTTTCAGGGATGACCTACAAAATTGTGTTGCAAATTTCCATATCAAAGAGAATAATATAGCTTTGGAAACATTTTCATCGACATACTAAAGGCCCTTATAGAATAATAAATGAGCTGATACACCCAAATAAATTAATTGGTTTGTAACACGAAATAAATTGAGAGATAAGTTATTTATTTACATCATAATAAAATACTTAAATTCATATTTACCAGAGGTAAACTTTGTACAAAAGTCGTTTGCTTGGGCACCTCTGTCCTATTCGTGTTTCTACCGTGAAACAGTTGTGTTTGCATGACTGTGTTTCGTTTTGAAGGGTGGCATATGGCAGTGAATTTACAGGATACAGAGAAATAACACCTCAGTCCTCAGAAATGGCAACGCACGGGCGAAACAGTTTACTCTGTTATGTCCATGGTGCTATTCATGTCTATAGGTGACGGTTACCACTTTCCATCAGGTGGGCCGTCAGCTTTTTTGCCATTCTAAGTTACATACAACATAAAATACAAATAAATCATTTACTGCTAGAGTAATAAGTGACTATAAAATTAATATTAAAAATTAAAAGTAGAGTGTTTTAATGAAGATAAGTTACCTCGATGAACTTTCTGTAGGCGAATCCTCAAGGAACTGTAAGACGCTGGTTAAAATTTTCTACAAGCATATTTTAAAATTTTTACGTGCAAAGTGCACACTGAGAATTTACAATCAATCACTATTCCACAAATTTAACATTGTTTATATAACTTCCAACAGACACAAAAAAGAAAGTTCACAAGTTGGTTATATTTATTTTATATTTGTTACCTCACAACACCATCAGTTCTGAACCGATTTGGAAATTTTTTTTTTATCTAAAAAGAAATACTTGCAGATTAGTTGCATAGAAATTTTATCAAAATCGGTTTGGTAGTTTAGTTTTTAAATCAAAATAATTAATTATGTCATAATTGCATTAGATTTTTTTTAATACAACTAAATTTAATTTTTATTTAGTGGTTTCAGCATGAGTTCGCTTATATATATATATATATATATATATATATATATATATATATATATATATATATATATATATATATATATATATATATATATATATATATATAACACGAACTTCTTTAGGTAGCGTATAGAAATATATTACTAATATGCAATACAGCGTGAAAGCAAACTATCAAATAGTAATATGTAATTAATCTAAACAACAAGTGACAAATAAAAAAAAGATGAAAAATTAGATGGAGTAACGACCTGAAATGCATCGCAGAGAGCAATGAATGCAGGTGGCTTAGGACCGTTCTTTATGGCAGTCTATAGGGGAAGCTTATGTCCAGCAGTGGACGGATAATGACTGTAATGACGATGAAAGAAAATACGAAAGATGCTTGAAAATGCACATGATATACTTTCAAGTACTTTCAATATTTTTTTTCAAAGTTAATACAATTTATAATCATTAATATCCATTTAGGAAAATCTATTAAAATCAAATGTTTTTCACCAACAAAACTTAGTATAAATTGAACAAAAATATTGTTCCTTCCATACAAGACGTCTGTATGTTTAATTCTATGTCGTTTCCCGACCCATATTTTGGTTACATGTTCAATTCCATTGACAGAATACTTAAAAGGATATTATTAATTTATATTTTACCTTATAAGGGTATTCATTAATAAAATAGCAGTTTCAAACAGAGAATTGTTAACCGACCTGACAAGTTACCTTAGAAACTGCATCAATCACAATACAATTTGTAAATGGGGAACAATGAAATTGCTTTCGTCAAGTAATCCAAAGTGTAATTAATTATGCCCTCACATCTAATTCCTGCTGGACCCTTGTCATAATCAGTCCTCTGGTCCATTAAAATGTTTAGCTACTTAATAATGATCGCTTTCATCTAACACTATCTAAGTTTTGAACTGTCCATTACTCACAGACCTTCGGCACTTAAAAACTAAAACCTTCAATAAATCTATTTTTAGTATTAGAATGTGCTCTTTTTTTTATTTTAAATTAAGAATATTTTTGATGCAACTTAGAATGGAAAACAAGCTGACGACCCACTGACGGAAAATGGTAACCGTCGCCTATAGACATGAACAACACCATGGACATAACAGAGTATACTGTTTCGCCCATTTAGGTGTTATTCCTCTGTACTCTGTCAATTTACTGCCATATCCCACCCTTCCAACAAAACTACTTCACGGTAGAAACACGAGTGGGACAGAGGTGCCCAAGCAAACGACTTTTGTACAAAGTCTCCCTCTAATAATATACATATATACTTCAAAAGAAAAAGATTATTATCTTTTTGAAGCTAAATAATTATAATACAAATTCAAATTTAAATCATCTTTATCCAAATAGACTTGTTTACAAGTACTTTTAATTCATCATTTCTTTAATCGACTAAATACTTACATCATGGTGTATCTCAATACATACGCTATAAGTAAAACAGGTTTTTTAAGCAATAATCGAGAAATATTGTATATTGTAAAAGTTAAATTTAAAAATAAAAACTATTCCTATTTGAACAAATAATAAAAATAGTTTTCCATTAAAATTTATCCACTTTACGTAAAAATCCATTTGATCTGGGGCATTTTAATCGTATCTGTAACGTTGAAAAATGGCACGCTCTGTTTTTATGTACTTACTAACAAATAAATACATAAAAAAAGCATGACATTTTTTTCTGCCAAAAATTAATTATTATTATAAAAAAGAACATGTGTACCTGCCAGAAATCACCTTTAGCTGACTAAATATTATTTACCCAAGACTGTGTTTATATAGTAAACAAACAAATTATTTAAATAAATCCTATAATCATAGTCATCAATCTCGTCTCGTAAACTAAAACTAAGTTAATATAGACTGCAATAGAAAGCTGTAGAGCACTTCGAGCCAGCAAGAACTGTCTTAACAAATGAGGGATGCAGTCATAAAACCCTCTGAGAAAACAAAGAGATGGCGGGGCAGAGTGTCATTTACACGTCGTGACAAAAAAACGGGTAACGCACAAGAAATATGAAATTGTTGCTAAGTCAGCATTAAATTTTCGCAAAACATAAAACGAAAAAGATCGCTTTAATGTTAAACTGTAAAATGCTTAGAACAAGGTGCAACGTTAACATGTTCTATATAATTATATCATCATTTTCTTTTCATCGTTCAGGCTTTTTTTGCGTTATGAATCAATTATTTGCTTAAATATTCATTGTAATAAATAAGCTACTTTATGTAAAAGATAATAAAAAACATTTTTGTAATTAGAGAAATAGACATTTTCCGAGCAACGGGATTATATATTAAATAAGAGAAAATCATGTCGCCTAGCTACTCACTAAGACGGTTTTGTATTTAAAATAAAAAATAAGTTCTATTCAGCGTTATACAGTTCTAAATATACGCAACAATTTCTATAATAATTTTATATGCATAAGTTTCTGACGTCGATTAATGTTTCAAACTGTAATCTGTTCAGAAAATGCTGAAGCGGCGAAAGCGCTCTCTTAATATGATCATTAATTATATCTCGCGTACATTCTGTATTTCAATCAGATACGCCACTGATAAATATTAAATAAGTTTTGCTTAAAACGTACAACTACACATACACAATTTAAAATAGATACATTTACTACTAAACCTAAACTTTATAATTCAGACTATATTATTGAATTTCTTTCGATTACGAAAAGAAAGAACTTTAAAAGTGGACTGTCCGAAGAATTTATAATTTACACAAAATTAATTAAACATATAAACATAAAAATGAGACAGGTAGTAATTGCAGGTAGATTTTTTGAGACACGGGGCAAACGTGCGTGCGGCTCACCTGATGGTAAAGACTACCGCCCATCACCCGCAATAGCAGAGGCATTGCAGGTGTGTTGCCGGTCTTTTAAAAAGGAATATACTCTTTTTAAAGTTATGATGTCGTATCGGATTGGAAATACTACTGCTGAAAGTTGATTCCAAAGAATGGTTGTTTGTGAAAGAAAATGCCTTAAAAAACGTACGGTGGACGACCGCCACTCATCCAGATGGTTGGGATGGGATCCCTATGACCTTAAGAGCTGACTGCCAAACTTACCGCGATTATTGCCATCAGAAATCTATTCCACCATAAAATATATTGTTGAAATATATAATAAATACATTTTATTTACTTAAATATCGACAAATTATGCATAAACTTCTCATTTAAGAGAGCGGTAAACTTTTGGTTGTTATACCACGACAGATTAAAAAACCGAATATCGGAAAATTATAATATTTTAGTATTTTCAATCAGGGGAGAACAATTATTTTATAATGAGATATGTTAACTGCAATTATTATAATTAAAATTGTCAACCAATTTACTACTTTTTTCAATAATAGCAATACAAGTTTAAACTATTATAGAGAGGAAACAACATGATGTTTGGAGTATCACAGTATAAAGTGATAATTGTATAAACATAACCTTATCTATTTCAGTATTGTCACAGCCCAATAATACTCCACTGGCCTACCCAAGATGATCAAACTATCTCATTTAAAAATTTCCCTATCTTACGCTAATATATTGGTGCTTTGTTCTCCTGTCTCTTACGTCATTCTCTTCTAAATTATACAATCATATCCTAAAGAATTCGTTCATATTATTTCTTTAATGACGCATCCTGAATTATCATATAATGTTTCG